CAGGACAAGTTTTATCCAAGGATAATGTTTGAAGAAATTATCAAATTTGCTTACAAATATAAATTATCCTTTTTAGCTGATGAGGTGAATTTCATTACTATCCTTCTTTTTCTTCTTCTTTTCTTGAAACAATTTCTTAAATTCTTTGCACAAAATATACGAAAAACCTCAAACACTAATTGAAAATTACCGAAAGATTTAATTAATTGATTAGTTGAATACTGAAAGAGTTTCTTTTTTCCATCTCCAAATTAATTGTTACCCGTTCCTTTGATTAATTAATTGTTCTGTCCATTTTTTAGCTAATTAATTGATATATCTATTTTTTAATCAATTAATTGATATATCTATTTTTTAATCGATTAATTGATGTATCTATTTTTTAATCGATTAATTGATGTATCTATTTTTCAAGTAATTAATTGATGTATCTCTTCGCGTTTCATTTTGTTCATACTTTTTTTTTCGGGGGAAAAAAAAAGGAAAGAATGTTGAAAAATAAGTAACAGTTTGAAAATTTGTCACTGATAAAGGACTATTTTTGTTCCTTTTGATCAAAATATTAAAAATTATTTCATTTTAAAATTTTCGTAAATTTATTTTTTTAAAATTAAACGAATCCATTTACACATTCTTCGCTTACAAATTTCATTTTTTTTTTTTTTACTTTTATTTTATAGGTTTATCAAGATAATATTTATGAAGAGAATCGTAAATTTCATAGTTTCAAATCAGTGATGAAATCAATGGGTGAACCATATTCGCAGTAAGTTATCAAATTAATTAACTTATTAGATATGCAAATTAAGAATATATTAGACATGCAAATTAAGTATTAGATATGCAAATTAAGAATAACTAAAAAAAAATCGAAAACTTTTCTTTTTTTTTTAGGATGGAATTATGCTCATTTCATTCATGCTCAAAAGGTTATATGGGTGAATGTGGCTTAAGAGGTGGTTATGTTGAAGTAATAAATGTTGAACAAGAAGTTTTCAATCATTTACAAAAAATGACCTCAGCAAAACTTTGTTCCACTATACTTGGACAGGTGTGTTATATAATAAAGTTACATTTTTTTTTAAAATTTCTTTTAAAATTTTTATTAGATTTTAAATTTTATGAAATTTTTTTTTAATTTATAGTGTGCAATGGATTGTGTGGTAAAACCACCACAACCAGGTGAACCATCGTATGAGCAATGGTTACAGGTAACACTTGCATATTTTAATTAATTAAAAATTTGTAATATTGAAAATATATTTGATGATTTTTTTCTTTTTTTCTACAATTTCTTGACAATATATTCGTAATTCTCATTAATCCTAATTAATTATTTTGTTTTTTTGTTTAAAAAATATCAGAAATTTTAGGTTTATTATTAAGCAGAGTTATTAATGACTTATTTTCGAGTTATTTTTTATTATTAAGTTATTATTTTTTTGAGTTATTATTTATTTGAGTATTTGAGTTTTCTGATTATTTAATTAATTTCAATGTGATAAAAAGGATTTGTAGGAAAAAACAGCAGTATTAAATTCATTACAAGAACGTGCAAGAACAATTTATAATGCTTATAATTCAATGGATGGTATTGAATGTAATCCAGTACATGGAGCAATGTATGCATTTCCACGTATTAAAATGCCTCAAAAAGCAATTGATAAAGCTAAGGTTAAATAATTGAAATTATTTTATTTCATATCAAATTTGTATTTTAATACCTTAAAATTTTATTTGAATTAGGTTTTTTTTTAAAAAAATTTTATTAGAGTAGATTTCTTTTTTTTGCTTTTTTATTAATTCATTTCTTATTATCACTCTATTCTTTGAATAAATATGAAATTGAATTAAAATTGATAATTCAATTCTCATTTAACTTCACTAAAATAGTGTATGTACATTACATGCATGCATTATTGGATATAATTAATGATAAAATGAATGAATGAATTAATTTGTAATAAAAATCAATAATTTATATTCATCAACACTAATTATCATCATTTTCAAATTAATACAAAAATAAAATTCTAATTTTGTTTGATTTTGTAAATTCTAATTTTGGTTGATTTTTTTCTGATTGATTTATTTTGAAATTTTGTAGTCATTAAATCAGGAAGCTGATTTCTTCTATGCAATGCAATTACTTGAAAATAGCGGTATATGTGTGGTACCTGGAAGCGGTTTTGGACAAAAACCTGGAACATATCATTTTCGGTTAATTCATTCTTTTATGTTTTACACGTTTATATCATATTATTTTATTTTTTCTTTTACTTAATAGTTTAATTAATGTAATAAAATAATTTTTAATAGTACGTATTGTAATATATTGTTGTTATAGAGAATTCAAAGGTTATATTTTTGCTAACCTAAATGGAGAAATTTATTTTTGTTGTTGAATTGTTCTTATATTTATAAACTATTAATTTTATAGCATTTTATATCAGTATTTCATCTCAATTATTTCCATTAATTACCATTACAATATCTAGGGAGGAGATTAATTATTGTTATTATTATTATTATCATTATTTTTATTATTATTATTATTATTATTATTTTATTATTATTATTATTTTATTATTATTGTTATTATTATTATTATTATTTATTATTATTATTATTATTATTATTATTATTATTATTATTGTTATTATTATT